TCAATCAGAACATACTTTTGAGTTATACTCATTCTGCTAGAGTTAGAATGAAATTGCAGGAGCCAACTGTTAGGGTTTCTTTACAGCTTTCCTTTAGATCCCCAACATTTTTCTGTGGTTCTGCTATCCAGATGCCTTTGTTCTACCCATTTTTTTTATACTAGTGATGCCGATACCATTGGTTCAGAGCTATTTCTGTGTGCTTGTAAACTGTTTCTTTTCTCCCAGATTTTGTGAACTTTAGGCGATAATTTATATATATTATGTATAGCTTCTATTTTATAATCATATGCGTTTTAATTTGTGTCTATTCAATTGAGGGTGTATTATACATAGGCATTGTTCAGATAACAGGAATACAAATGTAATCATATTAATATTCCCATCTTCATGGGTCCTATGTTCTACTGTCAAGGAAGAAGAAAAGATAAAGGACAGACAGCAGCGTGAACAAGCTCATTTAGACTGGAAATCTTTTGTCTTAGTTAGGGTTTCTGTTGCTGTGATGAAACATCATGAACACAATCAAGTTGGGGAGGAAAGGGTTTATTTGGCTTACACTTCCATAGCACTGTTCATCACTGAAGGAAGTCAGAACAGGAGATTAAACTGGGCAAGAGCCTGGAGGCAGTATCTAATACAGAGGCCATGGAGGGGAGCTGCCTACTGGCTTGCTTCCCATGGCTTGCTCAGCCTGCTTTCTTATAGAACCCAGGTCCACCAACCCAGGTGGCACCACCCACAATGGGCTGGACCCTCCCCCATCAAGCACTAATTAAGAAAAAGACCTACAGCTGGATCTTAGGGAGGCATTTTCTCAATTGCTCTCCCCTCTCTGATGACTCTAGCTTGTGTCCAGTTGACATATAACTAGCCAGACATCTTTGTTCTGGTATTCTCCAGTAGGGCGGCCGAGGTGGTCAGATCTGCACTACTATTTGATATCCTATGGTAGGCAAATATGTCACTGCTACTGACTGAATGCATTCTTTTAAAGAAAATGAAACTGGCTAAGTATATGTTTACAGAATTCAAAGTGTCTTCTTTTAATTATTATAATAATTGTATGTGTATGTGCATACCATAGTGCCCATATTGGAGGTAAGTAGATAACTTTGTGAAGTTAGTTTTCTCCTTCTGACATAGTGGGGTTAGGAAGAGAGAATTCAGGTTACCACGATTACTTAGCAAGTATCTTCATCCACTGAGCAATCTTGGCAGCATGCAAGGCATTTTCCTAAAGGGAAATATTCCTCAACATACATGACATCAAACTATCCGTCATGAAATGTTTTGGTTGCTGCTTAAGGACAACTTCTAGTTACTCATCCTAGAACACAGAAATGCCTGGGCCCTTGAGTCACAACTTCCAAATCTCCCAGTCCCATACTCTTACCTCTGAAATGAAAGCAATGTACTTCGATGATGATATTCCCAATAATAGTAATCAAAGGCCACTGAAAACTTATTCTCAGAGTGAGACCTAAATTAATGACTTGTGAGATCTAAACTAACCACAGCATAATAGTAACAGCATTCACAAAGTACAGTGCTTAGGGATATAAGAAACTGCTGACAGTATCGTATATCAACACAAAGCACTGAGAAACTCATGCACTAGATAAAGAAACCACTGCAGAGAGGTGACCCCACTTTCCACAGGCCACAGAGTTCAGTGGCCGTGTCTAGATGCCAGGCCTTGCAGCAGTCTGGTTCTGTGTCTCACACCACCTCCCTACTTCTTTCCTATTACAAGGGAAGTCAGGGTAGAGTGGCCACACCCAGCAGTAGAGTGGTCACACCCAGCAGCAGGCGCTACTGTAAGAACTGAACAGATACTGTTTAAAGCCTGCATTGGGAACCCCCAGGCTCTGGAGCCCTCCTGCCTGGTTGAACTCTGATTACTTATATTGTCTTCAGTCTTCTACAGTGAATGGTGTCTTAGAAAATGCTTTAGACAAAATCTAAAGTTCCTAAGTTGGTAAGAAAATATCAATTTCAAATTCAAAAGTTTGTTGAGAAAAATCTATTCTCTGTAGAAACAGCAAAGAAATAAATGCGGGAGAGAAAGAACCAAGATTTCTGCAGTGCTTTAGGGATCACTCATACAATTCTTGATTTTTGCTTTTGAGACACGGTCTTGCTGTACAGGCCAAGATTGCCTTTAATTTAGAATCTTTCTGCCTCAGCTCTCCAAGTGCTGGTATTACAGGCATACGTCACAACCCCAGTCCTTATTAGTGTATTTTCTTAGGTAAAATGTTTTACCACTACAGTTTGGGGCAGAGTTTAGAAAGTATGAAGTACTGTACTGTAAAAACAACAGTAGCTAGCTGCAGAGGTGCTGTGTGAGCCATGGGCAGAAGCAGCAGATGCAGCTGAGCCCTAAGAACAGAGCTGGGGAAAGGTAAGTGCAAGGGCAGAGGAAGCTTGTTACCAAGGTCACTCCATCATAGCAGCAGACATGGGAAATACAGACTCTGAACCCAGGACATGAGATGGCTTGTTTATTTTTCAATCTCCTGGTGAAATTACCTAGTGACTTTGTTTTCCAAAAAACGATGTCTTTTCATTATCATTGACTAAAAAGGGCTGCAAGTAAAAACAGCTCTGTTCATATAAAGTAGAATCATCCATTTACAAGTGACTGCTAAACTATAGATATTGTGTGGCTCCTAAATGCCTTATGGTGACAAATACATGCCCCTGCAGTGTGCAGACAACCAGGACACAGATTACCTTTGATTTTTGGCTTTCTCTGACATACAACACTCTTTCTGGTTGATACTGTGCATTTCACACCTGCTGCTAAAGCCATATGGAAAGGTGGTCATTGAACAACTTACCTTTTATCCTTCTTGGCTGTGTTCAATATTGAGGTTGTGGGGCATGGTTACATTTTTTGAGCAGTTTAACATCAAGACACAGACATTTCAGGGGGAACTGACTTTGAAGGAGTGAGGTCAACATAAGCATGGGCAGTGTGTCCAGCAGATGCAAGGCCACCAGGATGTGTGAACTTAGTAATTACAATGGTCACTTTCCTACAAACTGATTTCCTTAGTCAAACCTCAAGGGCATCAGATCAAAGGAAGACACACAGCTGGACTGTGTTTCCCAGCCAACTGGCCTGTTAAGGAGAATCTAGACAGTGTCCTGGCAGCTGCTGAACACAGCAGCAATCTACGAAAAGGAATTCAGAATACTTTTTTGCTAAAAACAAAACAAACTCCCCAAATTTCTTTTATTCCTTTGTTCCTCCTTTTCTTTATTGATATTTTAGGAATGATGTCAAAGCCCTAGGGCTATCCTGGGTCCTGACTCTCAGAATCCAGCACATTTTTCCATAGTCAGAGAGGAACATGAGGAGGTATAATATAGCTCACGGCACAGTGATTTAAAAACAAAATAAAATATTATATATTTATAATTATCATAAAGTGTATTTCTAACATAATCTAATAGCAGCACATTTGGCTGCCCGCCCCCATGCCAATTTGTGGTAAGTTACTAACCAGGACACTGTAAAATCAGATAGGATGATTTAGGGAAATATTATTAATTGGAGAAATTTAGTTATATGCCCTGGAAGTTCTGTCCAAAACATACAGAAAGAAATTATAAATGTGACTATTAACACACAGAAAGAAATAAAAGCCACAAACCCCAAACCCTACTATGTCAAAAGCACAGCAATGCACACAAGAATCATGTGAAACGAAGGAACAGAAAGCACACTGGGGAATTCATGACTGTACAGAGCAAGATGTGAAGGTGACCATGTAGAAAGAAAAATGGAAACAAACGAAAATCATTTCCATAGTTAAGGAAAGCTGTTTCTCACCGTTCTGAACAAAATGGCTGAACTAAGAGCATCTGATTGGCTATGCCCATATACCCTCCTCCTCATCCTATGGGGAGAGATGACATGGGAACAATGCCCCAGGGCAGCATGGGAATGAAAAAGAGTTGGTTAGTATTAAAACAAAGACATAAACATAATGTAGCAGAAAAGAAATCTTGGCTTTCTTTTTAACATTATGGTCTAGTCCCCTAAACTACAAATTAGTAATTAGTTTATGGTTCCATGTTTACTCTTCTGCCTTTTCCAGAGCTGGGTATGCAACATTAATCAAGTCAGAGCCTTTCGGTAGGATCTGCTTGTTGCCTTTTTCCATCTGTTTGTCTCCCCATGCCAATAACCTCCACCTCATATCTAAACCTGTTTCATGGAAAATATCTGACATGCTTCATGCAGAGGCTAGACAGTCTTAACTCCAGTAGCAGGAATGAAGCAGAACAAACAGTGGTTTCTAGGTAGGGTGACACCAAGCAGATAACTCTCCATTTTATATAAGGCTGATTCTATTTTCCTCTAAAGCACTGGGTGTGTCTCAGCTGGTTTAGTCATCATATAGAACCATTCCTTCTGAGTCTTAGAAAAAAATAACAATTTGGAAGCAAGCTAAAGGCAACAACATCCCTTGAGAAGGTCATGGAAACAAAGGGAAAAAAATTAAGTTTCTTCTATCACCTTTAATTTTTTGTGGTACTGGAGATTCAACTCAGGGCCTTGAACATGCTAGGCAAGCTATTGACCACTTGGGTAAATTCCAGCCTTCAGCTATACCTTTCACAAAAAATGGGTAGGTTTCATAATTTGCAATTCAACAAGAAGTAATTTCGATTCTGAGCTGTGCCTTGCTGAGCTTGGAAAAAAGTCCTGTTTCCTAACATGGAACCAATTCTTTAATAAGAAAAGTAGGACTCATTTTTTTTCTCATCTCAATGCAATTATTTAATAATAGTTCTCATAAACAATTGAAGTATATGCTCATAAGATATTCAGAACCATCCATTTCTTATACATGAATTACTGAGAAAAAGCTGAGATTCTTCTTCTAAATCTACAACCTAAAATTTGCAATATGCTATACCACAAAACACATGGATATGGAGTCACAGCTTTTAAAGAACGAGACATTCCAGCACAGTCTTACCTGGTCTGGGGAGGGTTTATGGTTCGTCTGATTGGAACGGGAGGATTTGAAGTGGTCATCCTCATAATTGTCAGCCATTAGTTTCATTCGATTTTGTGTCTAAAAAGAAATTCATAGTTTGCATTGAGATAAATCCCTATAATACATGGTAGAGCAACAAGAACCTTAAAGACTTTCATGACCATGAAATTAGTCCTGTCCACAATAAAATCAATTAAACACAGACTTTGAGAGTATATAATAGCACTGTCTACATCCAGTTCACTCTTTCTGCTTTGTGTTTAAGGTAAAAGATGTGATCTCTCAGCTTCCTTCTGCCATTCCTGCGACTCGCTGCCATGCTTCCCTGTCATAATGGGCTCATCCCTCTGTAATGCAAGCCAAAATAAACTTTTTCCATAAGTTGCTTCTGGCTGTGGTCTTTCACACAGCAACAGACAGTAATTAATATAGTAAGTACATCTGTGCAGCCTCCTCCTCGTAGAGAACACATAAAAGGGAACACTTCTCATTTACACTTGTTTGGTGCCTATTTCTACATGTATGGTACCTGAAACACCACTTTACTGGCAGGAGACACTGTCTCATTTCCTTCCACATTTCTTGGTGAATTAAAAGCATTTTGATTACTTTCCCCCAATGTTTACGGAAAAACCTAATGATGGTTGGGGGCAAGAACTTTAGGGCCAATTGGACTTAGTTTAATTCTAGTTCCATATACTAGTTATTTAACCTTAGGTATGTTTTGAGTTAAATTCTGAACCTTAATTTCCCCATCTTAAAAATGGGGGTGATCATAGATCTCAGCTAAAAGACTGCTGTGAGGGTTGGTTAATTAAGTTAGTAGAAAGAAAGCATTTAGAAAGGTGCATAGCCTAAAGTCAGTACCTAATAACCTTTAGGGATCATTAGTTTGATGCTGATAATCATTAATTTTCATGGCCTTAGCCCTAATTTTTCTTGGCTATATAGAATGGATTATTTAATTAGTTCTATTTTGTTGAGCATTCAGCTTCTTTATATTTTAACCTAACAACAACAACCACACACACACACACACACACACACACACACACACACACACACACACACACACACTCTTCCTTCCAGCATATGACAGAAAATCTACATAGACAAGTTGTGATACCACATTTTTATTTTCTAGAATGCCTTCCAGTGACCTTTCTTATAGTCTCAATGTTTGTATCTGCTCAAAGTTCACATACTGGAACCTTCTCCACAGCCCTTAAGGACTAAGGGTGGGACCCTTAGGAGGCTAAAGTCTTCCATTAGTCTCTTCTGAGATGGTTAAGGGCTCACCCATCCACTGTGCATGTGAGCAGGCAGCAAGAAGGAACAAGTGGCAAGGCAGAAGAGGTGGCATATGATTTCTTAATTTAAGTTGCAAAGACATTGGAAATCTCATCTAGAGGAATCCCATCCCATCCTCACATTTTTAGGGCAATCCATTGCCAGATTCTAAGTGACCCTATGAAGAGCCAAGACCACATGAGGATTTGAAACAGACTCTCCAGCCCAAATCAGGCCTTTAGGTGACTGTAGATCTGGCCATCAGCTTGACTGTAAACTTATAAGGGACCCTAAATTAACCCATAGGCAAAGCTATTTTCCAGTTCCTGAAATAATAATTATTGTGTGAAGTCAAGGGGGTTTCTATAGAGTAGAAGTTGACTAACAGATGCGGTGACTGGGACCAGGGTATGCAGTAACAGAAGCTGAAAATCCAAAGCAGTGATGTTAGAGCTGGACAGTGGGCAGAGATCTGTGAGGCGGGAGGGAGGAAGGGCACGGGTGAAAACCTGTGTCAGTTGCACAGACTTTAAGGAGGCCACCCATGGGGAGTGAGGGATACATGGAGATAGTCCTCACCCTGCTTGAGAACTTCGGTGACAGCATCACCTGCAGTCATGTTCAAACATAAAAATTTACTTGAAGGAACTGAGCGCCCCAGCAAAGGAATTACCAGTCACAACACTGATACTATTGTGTCAGTTTTTTTTCATTACTGACAATGAACATGAAAAATAATACACAAATGTAGTCACTCTTGCTACACAAGTAAAAATGAAACTAAAATTACTTATACATGTATACATATACATATATATATGTATTAAAATAACACGCTGAAAGTGAAAAATGAGACCAACACACCATGCGATACAGTCCCTTAGTCCATATTTAAATTGAAAGTAAAAGTTCTTTGTGATATGTAACTGATCTTCGGTTTCAGTGGAGAATTGATTCTAATCTACAAAACTCCCTCCTCCACGTATATGAAAGCCTGAGAACATTCAATTCCTTTATATAAACCGGCATAGTAGGTGCATATAACTTATGCATATTCTTCTATATACATTATATCAGTACAAATGCTTGGTATTGTTTAGGGAATAATGACAAGAAAACATTCATATATGTTCAGTATACATGCTGATTTTAAAATTTTGAATAAAGCTGGCCCTTTAAATTCATAGGCTCCTTGTTTGTCAATTAAACAAACCATGGATCAAAAATACTGGAAAAGATTTTTCTTGTCACCATTTCTTAAACAATGAAGAATGATGGTGATTCAGGATTCTACATTATATATGCAGCTTTAAAGGCTTATTCTCCACTATTTTTATTGGCAAAAGACTCCCATTCCAAATTTAATTCATAATGAAAGGCTTTAAACCTGTAACTAGTCTACAGAAAGCTATTTTCTTGGCTAGCTAGAAAGATTTTTCATCCAACATTTTTTTCTTTATAAAGAAAGAAAATAAATCAAAAATGGTGACTTTCATCAAGTTTGGTTCATATCTTTAGTCTTTCTTTACATAATTTTACTTGTGTTTAGAAGAGATCTCTATATGTACTACAGACCATCAACAGTAAATCTGATAGGTAATAATCTACATATTTATTGTGTTGCTCCACACTGAAAAGCTAGCCCATGGCTTAGGAGGTCAAAGACCTCCTAAGGGGGAATCTATGGCCATTGTTTTGATAAATGGAAATGTTGTCAAACTGCCTTCTAAATATTTACATTTACAGCCTTACATCAGAGTTGCTCCCAACCTTGGCCAGAGAGGTCTCTTTCTGCAGTGGGCAGCACTTAATGAATACTCTTAACTGGTTAAATGTTGGGACTATGTGCCCATCCAGTGCTCAACCCTAACTGACATTTCTATCAACCCTCCAACCCCCAAGGCTCAGGGAAATTGTAGAGAAACAGCAGAAAGAATGTAAGAGCCAGAAGATGAGCAGGAGTGCTGTGAAATGCTGTTATACAAACAGGATTTGGTTGTGGCACTCATGAACTCACTGCAGCTATGGTTAACTATACAAGACCAAACCAACAACATTAGCCAACATTCCAGTAGGCAGCACTAACTGGACTCAGTCGGGGTGGGGAAACAAGAGGGAGTGAGGAAGGTGTACTGAGGAGTCTTGTGTGGACATGATCAAGTTAAATCATATACATGTATGAAATTGTCAAAGAATAAATGAACGATAGTCTTTTTTAAAGTTGTTATTTCCTTGATATACTGTGGCGGGTTGATATCCATAGGAGGTCTGCCCTTTTATGAAGAGAAATGGAGCAGGAGGGGATGGGGGAGGGAGAGGGGCTGGGAGGAGAGGAGGGAGGAGAACCTGTGGCCAAGATATAAAAACAAAAACAAAATACAAAAAAAAAATGTTGCTCCAATGGGTAGGTCAAGGACTAAGACCAAGAATAAAAAACAAAAACAAAACAAAACAAATCTGAGTTTTTAATAAGTATTTGACAAGCCTCTAGATAACATTAATAAAGTTCTTCTTAAAACAAATTAAATAAAAACAAATGATATCATTTATATGTACAGCAAGAGATTTAAAACCGTTAGTAGAATCTTCAAGACAGGAAAAAGCAGATACATATTTCCAACAAGGAAAATGATCTGCCATTGGTTAGGGAAGAACTGACACTCAAACTGAATTTTGTCTCATGACGTCATGATAAAAGTGTGTGCACCGAAAGTGAGGTTGGAGTAAGTGGGAGTACTCTGCACCTGCATGCCTCTGTCACTCACAAAGAGATGCAATGAACTCAGTAAGTACCACAAACAACACATCTTACACTCGACAGAGCGAGCTGCTGTGAGAGATGGGAGGAAGGAGGATAATAATATACAATTTGTTCCAAGGTAGGCCAATGACCAGCCCCACAGCCTATGAGAGAAAAGTGTAAGGTGAAAATAAAAAGACACATTCTACCCATGAACAGAGCATAAAACGTCTCTAGTAAAGGAGTCAAGACAGTGTGTACACAATTGGGGACAGTCAGCTTACTTATAAATGGAATATGGATAGAGCCCTGGCAACTGTCATTGTGGGAACCAGCATTCCAGCAGAATTCAGGAGACATTTGAAAGTATGTACAAATGTTAGTTTTCAGATAAGTGAATGTTTGCTACGTCTGCTAGAATCCAAGATGCGCCAAATCAAAGTGTAGGCCTATTTCAAGTGATGTCAGAGCAATTAGCTTTATATGGTGAAGCAGTAAATAAAAGCGAAGGTAGCCAATAAAGTGTCATGTGTCCTAGTAACTCCCAGAGAGACTAAAACCTGGCAATTATACAATGGACAGAACCACAACAAAATACACAACTGCATGGAAATACTTAGAAATACTCCTTTACAGTAAGAGACTGGGGAAATTAAGTGGGATTGAAGGGTAAAGCAGTTAAAATATAACACAATAGGAAAACGTCTCACCCTCACCCTGTGCTAGTCACTTTTGTATAATCTCAGGGGACACCTAGATTAAGACTGAGTATATAGAAGAGTGATGCTCAGCCATCAACAGTGAGAGGAAACATCAAAAGGACCAGGAATGGGCTCTGGTCAACTGAGCAGGACACAGAGTGATGGCTTTAGGACATGATGTCCAGCCAGTTCCCAGGCACTTCTTGGGCATACACCCAGAGTGCTATACACCACAGTTTTGCCTGAGGTAATAATAGCCTTCTCAAGAAGATCGTGGCTTTCTGAAGATACAAGCCAATTCATTTTTACATTTCCATAATATTCATTTTATAGTTGAGGGAAATGAAGCATAAACACATTGCAACTCACTGAAGTCCTTTTTTGCTGTGAGTGTATACATTATTTATGACCCTATAGACTTGCTTTTATATTCCCAATCTGTTAATTTCAACCCTAAACTCTTAAACCATAGTTCTACTCCACACTCTGGAACTTGACTGTTGTTTACAATAATGTACAAAGACAAATGTCTTCCAGGAAGTATTTTTTTCTATTTTTGGTTTTTCAAGACAGGGTTTTTCTGTATAGCTTTGGCTGTCCTAGAACTCACTATGTAAATCAGGTTGGTTTCACAGAGACTGGCCTGCCTCTGGCCACCAACTGTTGGGATTAACGGTGTGTACCTCCACTGCCTGGCGCAGTTCTAGGATCTTAAAATGAGGTTTGCTAAGTAATCTGGGAAGATGTTTAAAAAATCAGTAATAACACAGTAAGCATTTAATAATAATTGGTCAATGCTGCTAAATAAATTCAGGTGAGAGTCTAGAAGAATCTGTTGACAGGAAAGAGTGTGGTTCAAGGAAGAGATGGTCCCGGAGAGAGGGTTGCTAAGAAGTCTGTGAGTTGGTTTGGTAAGCCATAGAGTTGAAGCAAACACTAATCTGGTAGTGTAGACTGGAGGAAAGTATAGATCTTACTAACCACTGGCATTTGGAGTTAATCTGTTCTGTGAGTCAATTAATGCCTTGACTTTTATCAACAGTGAAACAGAATTATATGGTTAATTAATTCCTCTTGTTAGAAACTATGACAAAATTTTTTAGATACAGCTGGACATGGAGGTGTACACTTAAAATCCCAGTGTTGGGGAAGCTCAGGTGGGGGAGTGTCATGAATTGAAGACTAGCCTGGGTTACAAAATGAGTACCAGACCAGCCAGAATTATGTAGCAAGACCTTGTTTCAACAAAATGAAAGCAAACTGAACCCCAAAAGACACAAACACAGAGAAGGTAAATGTTCAACATTGTAAGCAATCAAGTGTGAGTATGAAGAAAAGATTGATCACTGTGACTTTTATAACATTAAAAAAAAATCAAAACCTCAGGACCTGTGACATCTTTTTTTTTGAGACAGGGTTTCTCTGTATTGTTTTGGAGGCTGTCCTGGAACTCTCTTTGTAGACCAGGTTAGCCTCGAACTCACAGAGATCCGCCTGCCTCTACCTCCCAAGTGCTGGGATTAAAGGTGTGCACCACCAACACCCGGTGACATCTTCTAATTTAGTCTAATCACTAAGAATTCTATGAATTTTTTAAAGAGATAGTCATAGACTTGTGAAGTCTCAAATTATGAAAATCTTCTGTATTTGATCCCAGTATGAAACACAAGGCCCTAAAAACACACAGAGGCAAAGACATGTTTGAAAAGGCATTGGAACTGGCCCGTTCTTCCTGCCTCTATTGCATCACATACCTGTTGTTTGAGTTGCTGCACCAGGCGGTCCTTTTCCCTTTTCAGTGCAGCCACTTCTTCTTGGGTCTTTTTCTTAGAGGACGAAAGCTCTAAAAGAGCTATATTAGCATCCTTTTCACTAATAGCTGCCAGAAGAGCTTCTTGCCTGCAAAGGAAAGAAAACATGAGCACTGATCCAAACCCGAAATTCTTTGTAGTTCTACAAAGAAATATCTGGAGAACAAAGGAAAATAACCGACTTTTTGTATCGTTTCAGGGGGTGGCAGAAGTTCTACAATATGTGATTTACATTGCTTACTTGATAAAGAGCATAGAGCCAAGTACTGGGTAGAACCTAAAGTTGCTAAAGTTGAGAACTGTAAAAACCATAGCATAGGGCAGTTGGGGTCAGGATGGGCACATGAGCGCTCTCTCTCTCTCTCTCTCTCTCTCTCTCTCTCTCTCTCTCTATATATATATATATATATATATACACAAATATATATATATATATTTCTCTCTGTGTAGTAGTATGCGTATGTGTGACCTTCTGTGAGCTCTGGTTTCTCTGTGGGACCAGTATCTGAAAGGGATAGTCCCTGGTCTGACACATAGTACTTATCATCAGGATGAATTAGGTAGTTAAAGCATACACATGACAAGATTGAACCAACTAAACAAAACAGTCATTAACTTGATTTTCCAAATTAGGATACAATTATATGTAGGAACTTTTAAAAATATTTTAATTTTTTCAGCTAAAAAATTAAATAAGGCCAGGAATTGTGACACATGCCTTTAATAATCCCTCTACAGTTGAGGGGTAGAGGCAAGCCAAACTCTGTGAATTCAAGGCCAACCTGGTCTACATAGTGAGGCCCAAACAAGCAATGGCTACATAGTAAGACCCTGCCTCAAAACTAAATAAAATGTGAGCAAATGCATGCATGGAAGTAAGGATAACTTAAGGGAGTCTGTTCTCTCCTTCCATCATGTGGAGTCTTGGGTGTGAAAAAAACCTTTTTAAAAAAGGGTCAACATTCCATAGCTTGTATTACTTTTATACAAATCTTAACCCCTACCCTCTTTCCTTCATATTGATTCTTTTAAAACCAGCTAACAGCAAAAGACTGTGAGACTGGACTCCAAGACAATGGGGGAAAAGAAATAGTCTACTACCTATGCTAGAATAAAAATCAAATGAACTTCCGGTCCTGGTGGTTTGCTAGCACAGTTTGAGTCTTGCTGCATCATTTTTTTTTTTTTTAACAAAAAGAGTTGCCTGGCTAAGCTACTTTTGCTTGTTCCCGTGGTCCTTCGTGGGACATGGAAATTATTCTTTGTTTCTAAAATGGGAACTGAACTCAGATTGTCAAGCTTGGAATAAAATGCCTTCACCTACTGAACCATACTGCCAGCCCTAATTTGCAAACTTTAAGAAAGTGGACTTAGAATCACAGCCATTTGCTCAGGGGGCATGATAACATCAGCAAATTTCTTGATCTCATTAATGCAAATAGGTTTAGGAGTGTGACTTTATTGGCAATGATCTTTGCATATACTTTGAAACAATAATTTAAACATCACATATTACTAGTGGCTTTATTGCAGGCAGATATTGGGGCTCAGTGGGTATCCACTGGGATTTCTTATAATGAGGAACTGGATCAAGGACATAAGGGCAGTGGTAGAAGTAGCTGCCATTTATTAGGAAAGAAAACATTTCTAAAAGATGAAGTGGGTCAGAGCTGGTGAAAGGGTAGAGGCTGAGTGGAGAGCTGTACAAAGGACCAAACTTTTATATTCTTGGGTTTTGAGATCATTTGCACAGAATGAATTTATTCTGTGTAGGCTGTTACACGTCAGCTCTCATGGTGAGTTTTCAGTTTCTCTGTGCAAACTTTAATACTATGCTAATTTTGACCTCACTTTCCACCCTACTCTTTGCCACAGTCTGGCTAGCTACTCTGTAGTTCATGTCCAGAAAGAAAAGATCAAGGAGAAGAAACTTACAAATCATCTGAACAAACTGAAAGAACAAACTGTCCGTGGACCCAAACCCATCCTTCACTACGTCTCCTCTCATGTAAGGACACAAATCTGAGTGACTATAGAAGAGCTATATAAAGTAGTTGTAGGTTCTGACCCAGGAAAATGCTGAGTCTGAGAATGCCCTGTGGAAGCTTAGCTTTGCTTCTGACTTTTGTTAAGATAATTGAACTTCAATTGCAGTCATATGGAAAAGTTTAGTGAGGCCACAAACTGGAAGACTATCATTTAAAAAGTCTAAGATTTTATTTTGGATGAATAGATCTACTAAACTCTGAATAAGTAATACTAACAACGTGGGCCACAGTTTACAACAAGAAAATAAAAAAAATTAACTAGTTTTTGCTGTTGGAAGAGAGGATTCTCATGGATCTTAGCTATCACTTCTACTGTCTCAACACTGTGGAACTTTGGACAATGCAGGTGGCTTACACAATCAGGCTCTAGTTAGTACCAAAGGGATAGACAGTGTAAATACATCCACTGATCATTTGAAACAAGTATTCTCAGTGGTGAAATGACCTTAAAGTTGAAGGAGTTTGAGCTGGATTAACTGTGTACTATCCAGATTCTTATTGATGGTTATCCTGTTTGCTTTCAGGGCCTAAGAAGCTGGAATGAGGAGTGTGCATTTTCAGTGAAGTGCTGTGTTTCTGTGCACTGACTGTTAAGAATCACACAGTTGCTAATAAGGCAAAAGCAAATGATGAATTAGTATCAGCAAATTACATGGTATCATTATTAGATACCAAATACAAAGATGATAGGGATTTGAGTGTTCAAATTAGGAAAAAATACACAAGGGCCAGCAAACCTGCCACCTGAGTTTAGTGGTGGAAGAAGAGAAATACTAGTTTCTGACCTCTACACGTGCGCGTGCATGCATGTACACAAATATATGGGGGAGTAAGAAAAATGAAGAATGCACAATGTGAAAAGGTGAAATTATTCTATATTGAAGTATTTTGACTGAATTCCAATTCTTTCACAAATGGTATGCTTGGACAGCTAGGGATAGAGACAGTATTGTTCTTTTTGTTATATTATAATTTCAATAAATTTGTGATGGATACTATTAATGCCCAAAGAAAACAGGAATGAAACTCCGTAGCTTCGCTTGCTTTCTGCTGGGATCCACTCCAGATGCTGCTGCTCAGGTAAAAACTGAGCTGTGTCTCTCCCCATCCTGACACAAGGCTCTAAGCTACCAGACCCCAAGCTATTAGGTTACCCAACGCCTGTACACCCAATACAATGAATGCATACTCACTACACGGGTGCCTTTCCTCACTTCCCCCCACATCCTCAAGGTCACATATTCTTTCCTCAGAATGCAAGAAACAATCCCCTCTCGTTGCCATCAGGGAATCAGAGACTGCCCAACCTGCAAGCATTTACTATGGATTCATCAGTCCCCTAGCATAGAATCTCCTCCTTTTCTGGAACCCATAAGAAGGCAACCTCATTTTGTCATGTGGGCCTCAACTTTCCCCAAGGCCACTGACATGCTTTCTTTCCTTGACATTCATTAATAAAAAAAAATAGCTCTTCTAATAACCCGATCTCTTATTCAAAAAGACAATTTGACTCTGTGTCCCCTTGAATGCAAACCTGAGAGCTCCCACCCTCATCAGCTTTAGATGTCATATAGCCAAGTGTTTTACTACAGACAGTACCCCTGCCATATGGATCCCCAAATTTTTCAGGAACTTAGAAATGGCTAAAACTAGCTGGGACTAGGACCATTGCAAGCATCTGGTGAGGCAAAAAAAAAAAAAAAAAAAAATGGAGGGCCACACTTGTAATCTAAGTCTGTAGGTGGGAGCAGAGGCAAAAGGACTACCATAAATTTGAGACCAGACTTGTCTATACAGCAAGACCCTGTCTCAAAAAAAAAAAAAAAAAAAAAAACAGCAGACAATAAACCAACCCTCAATCTCACTTTCAGATAACAATAAAATCATTACTTTCAACATACAGGACACAAAGCTATGGCATCTGGCTGTCCACATGCAAGGCCACTCAATGTGTTTTTTTTTTAACTCTTTGGGGTCCCACCACCCATCTCCCAAATAAATACATGGAGAATTATTCTTACTTATGAATGCCTGGCCTTAGCTTGGCTTGTTTCTAGCCAGCTTTTCTAACTTAAATTATCTCATTTCTCTTTGATTACGTTTTACCTCTGGGCTTTACACCTTTCTTTATTCTCTGTATCTTTCTTCCCTTCTTACTCTGTGGCTGGTTGTGTGGCGGCATGGCTGGCCCTTGGTGTCCTCCTTTCCTTTTCTTTTTGCTCCCTCTCTCCTCTCTTTTCTCCTAAGCCTAGAGTTCTCCTCATATTTGTTCTCTCTACATGTCAGCCCCACCTATCCTTTCTCCTGCCTAGCTACTGTCTGTTCAGCTCTTTATTAAACCAATCAGGTGTTTTAGGCAGACAAAGTCACACAGCTTCACAGAGTTAAACAAATGCAATATAGAAGAGTGCAACACATCTTTGCCTCATTAAACAAATATTCTACAGCATAAACGAATGTAGCACATCTTAAATACATCTTAATATTCCACAACTCACAGCTTCATTGTCTTCATCTCCAACTGTTTCCTCTTGTCTCTGATTACCTTGTTTCCATGCCCCATGAATATCCCTTTTCCTATCCTAGAGAGACAGGTGAGTTCTGGGGCTCCTGCCTGCCTTTTGCTGAATAAAGCCTCTTTTGCAAAATCTTGTCCTTTTGGTAATGTGTACTGGGTGTGGAGCAAGCTGGATCCTTTTGGGTAACACAATGAGCAAGTTCTTGAAAACATTGTGGCATCTCTCCCTCCTTCTCTCATAGAGACTGAGTTTAGGGCCTTGAGCTCCACTACTGAACTACATCCTTTGGAAACATTCAAGAAGATAAGGCAAGGATGTGTAAGCAACATCAACAACTTTTAAGTTTGGTGGAATTAGCCTTGCTGTTTGCCTAATACATCTGACATGGTAAGCCAAACGTAGGCGTTGGTATACTGCAGAACAAACACATTTAAACTTTTGTTTAAAATGTTGTGCTTTTCAGAGGCAACAGAATTCAGATGAAACAAAAAGTAAACTGTGAGAAGAGCTGCAGTTTAGTT